TCCTGCGTAGTTATTTTTCCTTGAACAGTCAATTACCACCGTCAAGCGAGTCATTAATTAGCAGCTTCGTTCTTGAAGTATTGCTGGCTGATGTATTATTAGTTGCTGGACACAATATATAGTGCATTTAAAACTGAAATCAATTATCAGTTTTATATAAGATCATGCTTTTTTATATTTGAAGGGCAGGCTGAAATCAATTAAAAAGTTGATAGAATTGAAACTGCGAGTCCTCTTATATGTGAGAAAAGTGAGCCTAATGCTAGGTCACACAAAGGGTCATCGTGCCATGTGAAATACGTTAGATAGATTTAGTTCTGGGGCCACCACTCCTGCCTAAATGTTAAAAGGTCACACGGAATTGAAGTTTTGAAAGACGACCAAAATGTTCAATGCATTAGGGTAAGTTTGAAATTTCCCAGCATATGCGAACATCGATCTTAGGATATATATTTAGGGAAAAATTAATTTGAGCATAAGTGATGCCCCACGCAAAAGTCGTGAGGACGAGACTTGCTGGAATGCATCGAATACGAAGGCGTGCTGTAGATAAACGAAAGGGAGAGCCGGCAATTTGAGCGTAATAGAATGAGAGGACCCACCAAAAGAAAAAGAAAAGGGCGTATTGGCACACCCAGAACAAAGACGACAATGCATTGGGATGAAGACAAAGTTTCCGCACACAGTTGAGGCTTTCTCAGACTTCAAGAAAAGGGGGAGATAGAGATGAGGTTCTTTTGGTTAAGGTCACTGTCCAGAGCCCTTTTTCATGTTAATGTTTTATCTTTCTCTTTGCGGATGACTTGTGCATGAAAGTAAGGGAAGTCCCGGATCCAAAAGTGGCTTGCAACCTATGGATATGGATATATTCTCGGTTATGGCAGCGTCATATTCTTAGCCTTTGTCGTCTTTTGGGATGCTTTTGAGGATGTTATCATTAATTTGCAGTTTCATATTAATTTATTTTATGTGATTTTCTTACTTCTCTTTCACTTAAAAAACGGACACCCCGAAATAGTACTATTACGGCCCATGTTCCTTGCTTGTACAAAACGAAATGATAAGATTAGAGTGATGGGCCTACGTTCACGAGTTCGTAAGACATAGGAATTGTGAATGGATTCTTTCAAGTTGAAAATTCTGACAAGCAGTCCTTTCAATATTTTGTATTGTTTGGGGGGGAGGGGGGAAGATAAATAGGAAAAAGTATGAAAAAGAAAACGTTTGTTAAAAAAAAAAAAACAGATGTGAAGAGGATTGGTCCCCAGAATGGCGGAGGCTTACTCCACATTGTTTTGGTCGAAGCATTTGGTGTCGCCGGCGAACTCTCAATGTCCATGGCAAAACCCAAGAGGAGAGCTTGTTTGTTGATTTTTTTTTTATCAGGAGCCTGTTTCTCTATGTAATTTAAAAAAGAAAAAATTGTAATAAAATTGAATTTGGTTTTTCTTGGCCGAGAAATATAGTCTGGGGCAAAATATGAATTGGGAATCCAGCGGGTAGCAAAGTTTGGGCATTGTAACGAAGTAGGTATGGGCCAGCGTGTGAGCCCAATGTTACAACGTGATCTCGCGAGACGACAGGCTTGTGCCGTTGCGCATAACACCATCATAGCGCGCATTGCCATGCTTGCCAATTAAAGCGGATATCCCCATCATGATCCTCACCTACTATATATTACCTGAATCTCCCTTTATAACTCATTGCATCTATATAGTATTTGGGGCAAGGGACAGCTTGGTACGCAAGAGTTTGAGTATTTCATATCCAGGAAATGTGTTATCCTCTTGCTCACAACCACTTCTGCTTTGTTTACTTGCAGCTCCTCACTCCTTTCCTCTTTTAACACTCTTTTTAATGCATCTTATCATTACTTGTCACCGACGTCGTATTAATCCCCAATCCCTCCCACCCCCTTCTCCATCTTCTATTTTATTCAACACAATCATGCTTCCTTGCATTATAATGGCCCCGCGCTAAATCTGCCTGCCAATTCCTGATAAATATGACCATCATTGAATTCAGATTTAATTATCTAAATTTAATTTGTTTATCAAAACCTTCACTCCAATTTTAACACGCGCAAAAATATTCAAACTATTCAATTATCCGATACTGGAGAAGAAAGGGTGCATTTTATTATTCACCAAGAGATACATCTTTTTCTTATTATTATTATTTGAATGGCATATGGTGGCCGGAATGAGTAGATTTATACAGTACTGATAATTAAAAAAAATTGCATGTAATCTTTTCTTGCAACCTTGCATGGATCGTAAACTCGACACATATAAATATAAAAATATACACGCTTCGTAATTTAAGTTATATTATTCATTTTTTTTATAACCAAGGCAACTGATTGTTCACCTGATCGAGCACCCACCTAGCTTGATAACAAATGACCATGTATATTTTTTGCCATGTATATTATTTGGTTGATAATAAAAAAACCGTGTTTTCTTATTATGTGTATTACAAAAGTAGATCAAACTTCATCTAAGTTTGTTTTCGGTCATCAAACTTTATCCACGCTAACCTTGCGGCCTCCTCTTACATCTCGATCCACTGTCCTAACATCAAGTAGGAGAACCTCATCTTTGGAAAGTGAATTATCGCGTGGAAGGATCAGAATGAGAGCACACGTGTCTTTTGCTCGTGGCGTCTTTGACTTTGAGAAAGCACTGTTGCTTTATTATGATTTGGTGAATGAAAAGCTCGGCCTCGAATTTTTACCCCCTCACAGTAACAGATAATCTATCAGGAATCGGGGATATTGCATGCCATTCGAGACGGAGGAAATAGTGACCATAGGGAGTTTATGGTCATTCTATTTTCCTTTTGTTTTTTGATTATCAAAAGAGACATAATAATTTGCTCAAAAAAAAAAAAACAAAAGAGACATAATAATGGCAGTGTCATACCTAGTGCACGGCAAATACACCCGGCATATCCACCATGGCAATTTCCCAACATCCTTGAAGGAACATCTAGTTGATTCTCTTTTAATGCAGGTAACACAATTTGTAAGTAAGAAAAAGTGATCTGTCAAGATTTATAGAAATAAAATAAAGATATGTGAAAGAATAAAATAATAACAAAAAATAAAATACTTATAACGAAATTAGTCATAATCATCTTAGCTTAGCAGAATAATACATACAATAAAAAATATAATATTATTCTTTGTTATCCCTATAAGTTAGAAAATGTATATCATACATGCCTAGCTTGGTCAAGAGATCATTAGAGAGACTAGCTCCCAATAACTTGGTGTAAATATCAACAACTTGGTCCTTGGAGTAAATAAGAAGCAAATGAATGATGCTGGCTTGAAGCTTATCCCAAACAAGATGACAATTCAACTCGATATGCTCAGCACACTCTTGAAAAGTATGATTAGAGGCAATATGAAGAGAAGACCAATTATCATATAAGATTAGTGCAGGAGAAAGATGACAGATATAAAAATTTTGTAAAAAAAATAGCAATCATTATAACTTACAAATTATAAAACTAAAAGCTCAATATTCAACCTCAAAAGAAAATAGAGAAACAATGAGGGTGAAAAGTCAGATTAGAAATAGGAAACAAATGGTAGTCAATGTTAGGAATAAACAAAACATTATTGAGATAAAAAATTAGAAGAAAGACAAATGGTTATTGGGTGATGAGCTTGAACAACATAGTCATCAAATAAATGAACAGAAAAAGGAAAAATAGAAAGTAATTCGGAGAAACAATCGATATAAGAACATATATGATTGGTGGAGTCATTATCAATGATCTAGCTAAATAAAAGGCATTTTAAAAAAAAGTAAATGAGATATATTTAATGTTGAAGACGTAATAAGAGAAGGGGTGGAAAAAAAAGGTAGCCATAAGGTTAATTTGTGTCAAAAAAGTTGGTGAAGCAACTAGTGCAGGGGATTGCATAAGAATGAGAAGTATTGACATTGAGTGAATGCCGAAAGCCCGAAAGGCAAAAGAAGATGAGGACTAAGCAATTTTATCAATAGGTATAGAAGTATCTTGAATAGTTGTAATAGTAAAAAGTAGAATTGTGGGTGCAAAAGCCATAACATTGAAATGAAGTAAAGGGGAAAAATAATGAAAAAAAAAAATTCACGTGCTTTAATATTATAATATAATTTATAAAAATAGTGCTTTATCTTATTAATTCACGAGATATATCTATATCAAGAAAAGAGATCTATTAAGAAATAAAATAAAGATATATCACAAAAATAAATGAAAATTTAATAATTTAGTTTTTAAAATTTTAATTCAGTTATAACTCAATTCTTAAATTTTAACTCGTTGTAATTTAATCTAGATAATTTTAATATAGTTGTAACTCAGTTCTACATGAATAGCAAAGGCTAAATCAAAGTTGAGAGATTGAATTATAATTGAGTTAATATTATAAGAATCGAGTTATAATGAGTTAAAATTTAATGATTGAATTATAACTGAATCAAAATTTTAAGGACCAAATAATTAATTTTTTTAAAAAATAAAATAATAATAAGTAATAAAATAATTATAACCAAATTAATTATAATTACCTTAAGTATGTAGAATAGTATAACAATCCAAAATCTATGCATGGACGTTCCGCTGCAGAGCGCTGACGGTCATTTTGAAATTCCCATGAACTTTATTTTTTGAAAAAAAAAAAACAAGGGAATTAGAATTTAAGGAAGGCAGATATTTAAATTTCGAATAGCAGAGGCCCCACCGGGAGATTGCCCTCAAGCCATCATTAATAACTGTTACATTATATTTGATCACACCAACGTATTATCATTATTAATCATCTTTTACGTGCTCTATATATCTCTATCCCGTTCACCTTCCTCCCAACTGTTCCCCTTTTCGTAAACCAATTCAGCCATTAAAGAAGACATCGCCATTATAACCCCCTGCATTTCCCGAGACCAGGACCCCATCGTTTTCCTTCCACCTGTCACCTTCCCTTTTACCGGTCACCTTCTCTGCCCTTTCCTCTCAAGACACCTTCCACCAATTCGTCTCCCTCTCCCCCTTTCCCCTCCTAACTTTTCAATAACATGACCTTTTACCCTTGCTTCAGGTAACCGGTTGCTCGCTTTGGATTTTCTTCAAACGACCAAAGACTAGGAACCCCAACGAAAGCTAAAAGCCTAAAACACGGCTAAAACGACGACGAAACCGGGTGCTCCGACTGTCCGTACGTCATGATCGGTCTAAACAAGCTGGGGACGGCAATCACGGTGATCATCGCTCTCACTCTCGCCGCTCTCCTCCTCGAAATCCTCTACTTATTCTGGCGCCATCATAGGCTCCGTCGGCGCCCTCACTCTGATCCCGTAACTCACAAGCAAGTCCTCCACTTCCTGTGCTGGAAACGCAAGTCCCGCGTCGAGCCCCAGCGAACCTCCCCTCCCACTTCGTCGTCTTCTCCGCCGGAGCTGGCGGAGCAGGTGATCAAGTGGCAGTGCCTGCACGGCCCCTCCAGGGTTCTGTTCACCATCAAGGAGGAAGACAGAGAGGGCCTGGACTCCGAGAACTTCTCCTCGGCGGAGAGCATGGTCAAGACGAGAAGGGTGTGTTACGCTGCAGCTACTGCTGGGTCTGGTGGGGGAGACGGCAGCGTGGAAGAAGTGGAAGTCATAATAGAGACGACACCGTTTTCGACACCTTGCGCTTCGCCTCCTTACTTTACTCCGTCGTCTTCGCCGGTTCGAGAGTCGGGGAATGGTAACGGATGCCTGATGACACAAGCCCCGACTGTAAAAAAAGATTCCCCTTCAGAAAACCAGCAAGACTTCGTCAAACAGGCTGTACAAGTGGATGAAATTTTAAGTTAGCTCCTCAGGATGTTGGATTAACAAATTATGGATTATGAAAGCGTCGCCGTCGTCCCAAAAGTTTGCTCTTTTCTTCCATTTTGTAGCCTCTGGTTAATGTCACGGCTCACAAGATCATGGCATCTCCGACCGGAAAACCTTTTATTTTATTTTATTTTATTTTATTTTTGGCTTCAGGCCAACACTGCACAACTGGCCTGTTAGAACTTGGAACTAGAATTAGTTTTAAATTTTTATGATTTTTCCGTGAAGCATACACTGGAACCTTTTGAAATTTATTCACATCTCGCACCTTTCATTCATTATATTTTCCTTTGATTCCATATTCGTGTAATGAATCTGAATCTCCCAAAATTGTTTATTTTCTTTTATTTGTTGAATTGAGGCGGTCTGAAGAATCCCTGAGAACTAAACGAAATAGTTGTGCTGGGGGAACAACTATCAGGGCCCATTTCTCTCGGGCTTCTCATGAATGAAAGGGATCCCATTCGTACACAGTCCTAATAAAGAAGGTTACTCAAGCCCAATTTTCATGATAATCAAGAAATTCGTCGTTCTCTTGGTTTTCGCCTCTTCTTTTGCTTCTAACATGTGATTAGCCTCGTGGATCCGTTACATGTTGGATGATTGGCTATTGTGATTCATTGATTTTGATATGATTTGAAATTCTTTTTCGTATACGTCATTGCGCTATTAATGCATACTTAAATCCTAAATTTAACCATCCTATTAATCGTCCCTGCGTTTTTAAATAACTATATTACCCCCCCTAAAAAAAACACCAAATTTTTTCAAAAATATTATTTACCCAACACTTGTGCCCTGCCGGCCTTTTTATTTGCAGATGGAACGCCTGCCCCTAGCTCCCTGGCGATTACCAGTCACGTTTTGGGAGAAAAAGCTACTCTTATCATATAAATGTCTTTAAATTCTTTTTTTTTTATTAATGTAGCATAAATTGAACACTTTCATATCATGAATAACATGAATATTCGTCACCCACAATAGATTATAACCTTCCTCCTATATCCTAACTAGGTTTGCGACAACAGCTGTAAATCAAATCCAAACATTTGCTTAACGAATAAAAACATATTATTTACACCAGCCTATGTCGGTGTCATAAATTTTACCTTGCCCTTAGCATTATTGACTTTTGAGTTCACTCAATGCATTGCGCAAAGTTTTTTTTTTTTAATATAGTATGGTTTATTTATATGAGATTTTAAGTTACATATTATTGCATATTTGTATTGTTTCTGTGATATCAATGTCAATCGATTATTTTCAAATGGAGCAATCCACCTGTTATTTAATCATATTATTCTCTATCAGGTTAAATCTGACTGCCTAAGAAACTGATTAAAAAAGATTTTTTTAAAAAAAAATCTAAGGTGTATTCTTATTGAAATCCTTTTTCTTTTTTGATTCCGTCTTCTTTGATATATCTTTTCCACCCAATAAGAAGGATAGCAACACAATTTTTAAATTTGAGGATAAATCCTTGCTATTCAGTATTCAAAATATTGTTGTTAAATTTTTAAGTTGACTCTTTAAGTTTATTTTTACATTTTTAATTTATAAAACTGATTTAGTCTACTTATAATCTCAGTTAAACTTATGATTTGACTCTCTAAATTTACTTTTTTACATTTATAATCTAAAAAATTGTGTTAACTTGCTTATATATTGAGATTATAAGCAAGCTTGATTAGATTCGCCTGTGACTTGGTTATATTTGCTAAACTCATCAATTTTTTATTGAGTTGAATGAGTTAAATATAATATTGTGTATAATTTTGTTCATAGTTGAAAGAAAATAAAACTAAAAAAAATAATATTAATAAAAAAATACAAAAATTAAGTTGTCATATTTTGAAATTTTTTTTAATTGAGTATGATAATCTATCAATATATAAGGACTTAATTTCAATAATTTAGATTTAAAATATATTTACATTAAATTATAATCATATTTTATATTTTAATTATTTAACATATACTTTTAATGACTAAGGTAAATTTTTATAAGTTTATATTCTTCTAAGTTCATGAATTTGACAACTTAGTTGAAGAAAATTAAATTTTCACCGCAAGTATGTTTGTAACAAAAATAATTTCATCTACTTCGACGACCAAGACAAAAATCACAAGTCTGAATCTTTGAGTCCCCATTCTTGTCAACTTGTTAAAGTGCGGTTTACATCCATGCATAGTATCACAAAAGTGATTAGTATTTTTGTCATTACAAGAAAACCACTCATGCCTGGCCATGTAAGAGAAGCCAATGATATGATACAAAAAATTGTGAATATTTTTAACACTGGAACAGCCATTATACCCATTTCGTCGAGATAATAATGACGTATTTTATCATAATTCATTCCTGTCAAGGAAAAATGGACGACACCAAGAAATCCATGAAAAATTATTTGTAAAATGGCTCTATTCAGTCTTGTATAGTTTATAGAACAAATTCTTATAATTCTAAAATCCATGTGGGATACGGAGAAATAAGCTATTGTTTTTTTAATTACATTGACCAAGAGATGATATACACGTTTATGTCAATAATAAATATTTTCATTATTACATTAAAAAAATATGTTATTTTACTTGTGTTAATATAGATTTAGTTTGAACTAAAAAGAAACATTTTTGCCAGAAAATTAATATTACTTATTGAAACATAACTTATAAGCATTAATTTATAGACACCTTAGCTTGCAAATAAATTCAAACGATGGACAAAAAAAATATCAAAATTATCAAGATACACATGCACACACTGAGCGAGAGGGGGGGGGGGGGTGAGAGTACAAACCAAATTAGACCACATAGGCTGGTCCATGTGGGGTTGGATTGGGCCAATCCATTTTCATGGGTGCAAGTTGTAATGTCATAAATATATGGCAAATTGACTTCATTACGCTTCCTTTATTCCACGAGATATGTTTTCTTTTTTGGGCTAAAGAGATCTCAACGTGTGATTGGGTATCTATGTATAATATAAATAATATATTATATATCAAAAAATAATATATTATTTTATTAGTATAATTATAATAATTATGTACTTCAAAAAATTATAGAAATTATAAAATAAATATATAATCAATAACATCATAAAATTACATAAATTTAAATCATAATATATAATTGTAGGGTTAAACTGTTACAAGTCATTTCTCCCCTCAACGTTTTTTTTTCTCTTGCAGTGTTTGGCTACTCTATAAAGCGAGGCAATATCATTCCTAAATAATTTTTTCAAAAGTAAGATCGTTATTTTGTAAAAAAAAAAACATTTTATCTCCTTCAATATCTATTAACATGGAAATGAAATAGTAGTAGACTTTAGAACTATTTAATATTTGCAAATAATAAAGAAAATAATAGATCTCTCACAGATGTCAACTTTGATTTCTAACAAAATATTTTGACTAAAAATATATTCACAAATAACTTCATTTACTGCATCATATTATTTTTAGAAGCTCAAAATAATATATGTAAACTCGTAAACTAATTAAGTCACTTTCCCTTTTTCTATTTTTTTATCGTGCCCATTTGTTTTAGCTTTTTTCTGAAAGAATGATTTATTTTTGAAAAATAAAATCTATTTTGTGAGTTTTTATTATGTTTGTTAAAATTTTTAAAAATAATTAAAATATGAAAAAGCATAAATCTAATTATTTTAAGAAGTTATTTTGAGTTTCTAAAAATAATCTGATGTACTAGATAAAGCTATTTGTGGGTATATTTTTAGTCAAAATATTTTGTTACCAATTAAAGTTAACATCTGTCAGAGATCGGTTATTTTCTTTATTATTCACAAATATGAAATAATTGCGAGGTTCATGTATGGTGACATTTATTTTATTTTCATATCAATAGATAATGAAGGAGATAAAATATTTTTTTGACAAAATAAAAATTTTGCTCTTAAAAAAATATTTAGGAGTGATATTACCCTAACCTATAAGGTACCCAAACACCGCTAGAAAAACATTGAGAAGAAAAATGATCTTTAACTATTTAACCTGAAGATTATATATTATGATTTAAATTTATATAATTTTTTGAAGTATATAGTTGTTATAATTATATTAATAAAATAATATATTTTTTTGATATATAATATATTATTTATATTATATAGATACCCAATCACACGTTGAGTTCTCTTGGGCCCAAAAAAGAAAACATATCTCGTGTAATAAAGGAAGTAGGGTGTGGGGAGGGGAATTAGGCATGCCCACTTAGGATGCGTTTGGAAAACTAGCATTTTACATTTAAAAAGTTAGTTTTTACTTTGGAAAAATTAAATGATGTTTGGAGATCATTTAAGGTTTAAAATTAACTTTTTGAAAGTGCTTTTGGACCTGGTTGTAACGGAAAAAATTAAAGCTGGTATTTGGAGCTTTTAAAAAGTCAATTGAGGAGAGATAAAATACCTATTATTTAAAATGACCATGATACCCCTGACTCATATTTGTCTTTTTTTCCTCCTGAGCTGGTCTTCTTTATGCTTCAGATCTCGCCTGCTTCATCTCCAGTTCTATCGTCTCTGTGGTCTGCTCTCCTCCGCCTCTTCCATGTCGTCCACCGTCAATGCACCTCTGTCATATTTTGGCGAGTCTCATCATTCTCTCGTCCGTCTTCTCCCACCATCTCTAGTCATAGATCTGACTTCTTTATTCTCTCTTCTCTGTGCTGTGTTTTAGTCTGCCTCGTCCGCCTTGTCTGCCGTCAGATCTTCGGTGACTATCGTCCTTCTCTCCTCTGTCTCTCCCCTACCATTTCTAGTCACAGATCTGACGTTTCTTCCTTTGCCGAGCTCGTGGTCTCATTCTGTCATCCTTCCTCACCATTTCAGTCACCATTTTCCAGTTGTAGCTCACGGATCGAGCTTCTTTTGAGTCTTGGACAGTATTGTGAAGCTAATAGAAGTAAAAATACTTGAGACTTGAACTGAACTCAGACGATTAGAGCTTTTTTTGTGTCTTGGATGCTCGGTGGTCCTCTAATTTTTTCTCCAGATCGCTTATGCTCTGTTTTTTTTTGTTGAAGGTTCTTCTAATCTGTTTAACCGTTTCTTCCACTTGCATTCCAAAACTTAAGAGCTTCTAGACGTTGGGAATCTGAACCTTAAAGAAGAAGGACAGGTTCAAACTTTTCTCATACTTATTGAATAGGAATGTTGTGAATCTGAACGTAGTTGTGCTCTGTGTGTATGGTTCAAACTTTTATT